GTGGGAGAACTTGCACAATTGGTGGCTGACTAAATACTTTTTTGCCCCACTGTATCTTCATTTGTCCCCAACGTTTGAGTGAGACAGCCTTAAGTCATCATTAGCTGTCTTGGTATTGAAGCAGTATTCTCCCCATTACTCCAACACTGTTTAAGGGCAGCCACAGGACATATAAAGTCTGCTGGGTTTTGTCACTCTTTATCATGGAGGGAAATTGGGTTAATGAGTAACTTTACAGACAATAAAGGAGAGAGAGGGATTGGCAGTGGGAAGAGGAAATGTCATGCAGTATAGATTTTTGCCAGTTCAGGGATGGATAGACAGCATGAATTCAGCAGTGAGGAAAGTTCCTAAAACAGCAGCGGAGGGAACTGTGTGCTGTTGTTGTTGTTTAGTCGTTAAGTCGTGTCCAACTCTTTGTGACCCCATGAACCATATTGCGCCAGGCCTTCCTGTCCTTCACTGCCTCCCTGAGTTTGCTCAGTTTCATGCTCAGAACTGTGTGCTATGTAGCTCCAAATCATTGTATAAATGGAGGAGAAATGATCTAGGCAATTTAGTTTTGGAGTATTGAACTATAGATTAATGTCACAATTTGTAACCTGCACAGGACAACTCATCAACTGTTATCTAACCCTAACTGAGAGCCAGTTTGGTCTAGTGGCTAAGGCATCTGGCTAGAAAGCTGTTGTTTGCCACCTTGAGTTATTTATAAAAATAATAAAGGTGGGATAAAAAATCTAAAAAAAAAAAATTGCTGTTGTGAATACTCAGTGTTTTCACTAAAAGCTTAATAACGTTAAGTTTTGATAGCATTCTCTTACACAGAATTCGTGTATGTTGGCAAACAAATCTTGACATAGCTTGGTTCAAGTACTGTTAATGCCAGTTTTCAGATGAGGACTCCGAGGCTTAAAAATCTAACCAGTGTTAACACTTGAAATTGAATCCTGGAAACTAATCATCCACTCTTCTGGATTCTAGCCACCTTACAATACACTAATCTTCATGTTGTGTAATATTGCGTCTTTCTGATGAAGTATATTTTTCTTCATCAGGCCCCCATAAAAACAGAGAATCTGCAAGAGGTAGAAAGTGTGATCCAAGAGATGATCAAAAGGAATGAAACGGTCTACACAGGAGAAGTACCCATCAATCTGACCAGTGATGTTCTAGGACTTCGGAAACTGGATATGGTAATTTGGGGGATGGCAGTGACTAAAGGAAGGAATCTTAAATGACTAAAACCACATCCAAAATGGCCCCAGCAGGGGCGGACATTTTGTTCCTGAGATATTTGGGGTCATTTCTGGGCAAATCTTTATGTTCTTGAATGTATTTTTAATGGAAATGTCTAATAACTATAATTATAAACACTATGCATTTTAAAAGTGACTCCAGAAGTACTAAACAATGCTCCCTATTTGTTTTTCATTTGGATGCATATAATTTCTTAAAATACTTTTTTCTAAATAAAAAACTACTGTGGATTATATACAACATGGTTCTTTGAAACTAAAATGGTAACCTATAAAGAACTGTTAGATGGTTTTTATCTCTAATTCACTGTGGCTCCTTTACTTCAGGATAGATAGATCAAAGAATAAATGTGTGCATGAGTGTTGGTGATTAATTTTTTGGATGAGAGAATGTTAATAAAAACCCTAGAAAAATGTAGAATACATTTTACAGCTTTATACCTTGCTCTTCCATGACTGAACTAGGCGTGTACAGAAAATATAACCACATTCATATGAACAGTTGTATTTTACGCATGATCAAGAGCTGCAGTTATGCAGAACTCCCATTCACGCCTTAACTGTAACTGTTTTCAGCTAAAGCAGTGTTGTCCAAACTTGGCCACTTTAAG